CTGTCTCTGGAAACGTTCTTCGTCTATGCAAGATCGCCGCCATCGGCATCCTTGCCGTCTTGCAACTCACCCTGATCGCACTCTGGGTGACTCATCGCGACGAAGGGCGTTTGCGCACCGTGTCTATCGCGGCATCTTGCGTGTCTTTCGCCGCCAGTCTGGTGTTTGGTGGTCTCTCGTACATAGAACACTCGAAGAGCCTTAAGCCTTCGTCCATCTTGAATACATACATACTTGTCTCTCTGGTGCTGGATGGAGCGATCCTCCGCACCGTATGGCTGTCGCACTTAAGCGCTGTCATCAGCGCCGTCTTCACCGCCTCGTCTGCGTTGAAGACGGCCATCGTGATTCTCGAAGCCCAGGGGAAGACGAGGCATCTTGTCGATTCAGACGGTCGGTCGCTGAGCCCCGAGGAGACCAGTGGCATTTACAGCCGCGGTCTCTTCTGGTGGCTCACGCCGCTGCTGATGACTGGGTTCCGTCGTCTCCTGAAGCCGCTTGACTTGTTCACACTGGATGAGTCCATGTCGGCTGCGGTGCTGAGCGAGCGCTTCTGGAAGCATTGGAACGAGTCATCGCCGGCGTGGCATGGCACTACGAACGATTCACCTCGCCCGCACAGCTGTCAGCTCGTCTGGGCTTGCATCAAGACGCTGAAGTGGCAGTTATTGGCCGTCGTCCCTGTGAGGCTTTGTCTCCTGGGCTTCACCATATGCCAGCCTCTGGTCTTGAATCGTTTCCTTGACTTCCTGCAAGACCCTTCCGAGGATGTCAATCATGGCTATGGTCTTATTGGGGCATACGGCCTCGTTTACCTTGGCATCTCCATCACGTCAAGCTTCTACTGGCACAAAGCCTTTCGCTCCTTGACTATGCTCAGGGGCGTGTTGGTCGCCGCCGTCTACTCCAAGACGACGGAGCTCAGGAGTGCTTCCAGCGACGATTCCGCAGCCGTTACTCTTATGTCGACAGATGTAAGTCTCCCGACATCTTACCGTGTATCGCGAGTATTGACTTTCCCAAGGTTGACGCCATCATCCGCGCCTGGCGGGAGATACATGAGTTTTGGGCCAACATCGTCCAGTTCGCCCTTGCAACCTGGATCCTCAGCAATCACATCGGCTACGCAGCCGCGGGCCCCATCATTGTGTCGGTTTTTGCTTTAATAGTTACTTTCTTATTCGCTCCTGCAACACAAAAGTATCAAGTTGCGTGGATAGAAAAGGTGCAAAAACGCATCGGTATGCATCCTTCCATCCTGTTATAACTCAGACCACTCACGGAAATTCAGGGATTACTTCGGCAATGATGGGACACGTCAAGAGCATCAAGATGTCCGGCCTTACCCAGAAGCTCTCTCAAACGATTGCGGATCTCAGAATTTCGGAAATGAAGGCCGCCACTCCGTTCCGCGTGATTGCTGCAATCACGTCGGCCGTGGCTCAGATTCCCCTCATGATTTCCCCTGTGGTTGCTTTCGCAATGTATATGGCCATCATCTCCAAGTCTGGAGAGACGCTCGATGCAAACAAGCTGTTTGCTGCCCTCTCTCTGGTCATTCTGTTGGCAAGCCCCCTGTTCTTCATGTTTGAGACGGTCCTGGACTTGAGCGCGGCTCTTGGGTGTTTCCACCGCATTGAGAACTACCTATGCCAGCCGCCACGAAACGATTACCGCTCATTTCCATCAAGCCCCTCTATCAAATCGTCTCACAATGGGAATGGTAGCTCTTATGGGGCGAACATCGAAGTGCGAGTTAAAGACGTATCGTTTCGGTGGAAACAAGAGTCTGTCCCTGTTGTTTATGGACTCAGCTTCAGCGTCGGGGCCGGAGAGCTTGCCATGGTCGTGGGATCAGTGGCATCTGGCAAGACTACATTCTTGAAAGGTCTTCTCGGCGAGGTTCCTTACGTTGATGGACTCATTTCGTTGTCCAGCAGTAAGATCTCATGGTGCGAGCAAAGCCCGTGGCTAATCGTAAGTAAAGCCGTATCGCCCGTTGTCGGACAAGAGCTCACATCAAATAGAATGAGACGATTCGAAAGAACATTACCTGCTTCTCAGAATTCGATGAAAGCCTCTACCGACAAGTCTTGACAGCTTGCGATCTTGAAAAGGATCTTGCCATATTCCCGGAAGGCGATCGTACGCTCATCGGAAGCAAAGGTCTTGCTTTGAGTGGAGGCCAGAAGCAACGTATCGTAAGTCGTACCCAGCGATAGTGCTCAGCTGTTACTGACGTCGGTCAGGCGCTTGCAAGGGCAGTCTACTCCAGGCCCCGGATTGCACTCTTCGACGATGTCTTCAGTGGCCTTGACAATCACACAGCCAAGACAGTGTTCCGCAGACTTTTCAACCTGAAGGAAGGAATCCTGCGGGCTTGGGGAACTACAGTCGTTCTTGCAACACAATCAGGTGAGAGTTCGCCATCCAAGCATGAAGACATCCCACCTTTGTACGTAAGACTAACAAGAGACGTAGTCGGCTTTCTATCACAGGCAGACTTGATCATAGCACTTGGGGACGGGCAGGTGTTAGAGATGGGGACATTTGCAGAGTGCCTAGAGTCGGACGGTTACGTCAAAAGCCTTGCAACTCTCGAGGCCGGCAGCGGTGATGAGGTCACTTCAAGCGAACCTCCCATCGACACATCCAGTAATACGACCGGGAAAGAAACCGCCAAAACCGCTGCCGAAACGGAAGATAAGCGACGTCAGCTTGGAGACTGGAGCGTCTACAATTACTACTTTGGAAGTGTTGGCGCCATACTGGTGGCAGTTATGCTTCTCCTCCAGATGTCTTGGGCTTTCTTCTCGACTTTCCCGAGTAAGTATTGCAATCCCCATCCTAAACATAACATACTGACAATATCGTGAAAGCGGTCTGGCTCAAGTTTTGGACCGACCATAATGTCGACAATGCCGACTCGGACTCGGCGTACTACCTCGTTGTCTATGCTGCTTTGCAGGTCAGCGGCGTTTTTTGTTTCGCGATTCTCATCTGGTAAGTCCATGTACCGCACTCCTGGAGCCAAGACTTTGTAGTGAAACTCATATCTGCAGGTTTGTCCTTGTTCCAATCGCATCAAGGTCGGGCATCAACTTGCACCAGCGCCTTCTCAAGGCTGTCATGCAGTAGGTGATGTTCCCCCCAAGCAGCCAGATTCTGATGTCTGACAACATGAACAGTGCCCCACTGGCCCTCTTCACAAGTACTGACATCGGTTCCATTACAACTCGGTAAGTACCCGAAAGTCCCAAGGTCGGACTCCAAGACGCCTGATGTGTTTAGGTTCTCCCAAGATATCGGCCTAGTCGACCGCAATTTGCCCCTGGCCCTGGTTGTATCCCTCGCTAGTAGGTTCCTCACCCGTACTGGTTTCTACAGACCAGACTCTGAACGTTACAGGCTTCTTCACCTGCATAGGCAAGGCATTCCTGATTGCCTCCGCCTCTTGGTACATCGCCATCAGCTTCCCGGTCTTGATACTCGTCTTCTACTTCATCCAGAGGGCGTATCTCCGTACCTCCCGCCAGCTCCGCTTCTTGGATCTGGAGGAGAAAGCCCCGGTGTAGTAAGCCATCTTTGACTCCGGCCATACAAGATGAACCTTGGACGTTGACATCGATTCCTAACAGCACCCACTTCCTCGAGACGCTTTCTGGGCTCCCCACCATCCGCGCACACGCCACGACGACACCCTCCATAGCCCACTCCCACACCCTCATCGACCGCTCGCAACGCCCCTTTTACATCCTTCTTCTCACCCAGCAATGGCTGACCCTCGTGCTCGACCTAACCACAACCGCACTAGCCCTGCTCGTGGTCGGCCTCGCAGTCCGCCTCCGTGATACCGTCTCCGTAGGCCTGACGGGAGTCTCTCTAGTCCAGCTGATCGCCTTTACCGAGACCCTCAAGATGCTGATCCAGTTCTGGACGTCTCTGGAGACATCCATCGGTGCTGTCGCACGGATCAAGAACTTTGCCGACGATACTCCTGACGAGATCGAGGATGATTTGCTCAAAAGGCAGCTCCTCTGCTCTGAAGGCCGACAAGGAGTATCGGCGACGTTGCTTCCAGGATGGCCTGACAAAGGGTGCATTGAACTACGGGACATCTCGGCTTCATATGCGTCCAGCGCCAATAATTGTGACGAGAAATCAGTGCCCAAGGCCCTAGACGGTATCAGCATCTCTATTCGTGCGGGTGAGAAGATTGGCATCGTCGGACGCACTGGAAGTGGCAAATCCTCGCTCCTCCTCGCCTTACTCCGTCTCCTGCCTCTATCGTCGGGTTCAATCCACATTGATGGCCTGTCTCTGGACAGACTCCCTCTTCTGGAACTCAGATCGGCTCTGATCGCAATCACTCAGGACCAGTTCGTTCTCCCGGGAACAGTCCGCCAAAACATCGACCCGTTTGCCGCGGCCTCTGACGAGAGCATCACTTCCACACTGACACGTCTCGGTCTTTGGGATGCCATCCAGGAGAAAGGTGGCCTGGATGCAGAATTTGCCGAGGAGGCACTCAGTCACGGGCAGAGACAGCTCTTCTTCCTGGCGCGGGCTGTCTTGCGTCGCGAAGTAGGCAAAATCGTTCTCTTGGACGAAGCAACGAGCAGGTAAGGCCTCCGCCGTTACCACCCGATTCGTTGCAGACGTAGTTGAGCTTACATGGAATGCAGCGTCGATTCCCACACCGAGCGTATGGTCAAGGACCTTATTCGCGAGGAGTTCAAAGAACACACCGTCATCGCGATCGCGCATCGCCTAGAAACTGTTGCTGACTTTGACCGAGTCGTAGTTCTTGACAAGGGACATATCGTAGAAGTCGGTGAGCCGCAGTCCCTCCTGCTCGAGAAGGGTGGAAAGTTCAAGGAGCTGTGGGATGCGAGCAGGCAGAACCGGGTCTCTTGAGACTAGATCACGAAGCAGAGAGTCGTCGCAAAGATATGAATTGCCTTGCAGTAAAGCTTCTATTCAATTGTAATTTGTATGCTCTAAATCACAGTTTGCGCAAACGCCTCATCTATCTGGTCTCTTTTGACGGTGATGAACCGTCCCTTTCCACCTCTTTGCCCGACAATGTACCGTTCGATTGCCTTGCCCATCTCTGCCGCCTCCAAATACCTTTGGCCATCGGCTATAGGAGTATTTTCGCTTATCTCGTACCCATACTTCAATACGAGTGAAGAGACCTTGCTCCACGGCCCATTCCAGTCGACCTTATCACCATCTACATTAACCATGAGCGCCTTGAACCAAGCACCACAACCAGTGATATCTAGATGTTCCAATCCATACAGGCACTTGCTCAGCTTCCGCAGCATGATGACGGCCTCAGTCCAGTCATCGTCAAGGGTGTGAGAATACGCCCCGGTGCCCGCATACTGTGACGTGTGGCCCTCAGGCGATACAATCGTCGTGAACTTTGCCTTAGGCGTCAACGCCGGCTCGGGCCAGTAGGCCAGACTGAGATGCGTGAGGGTGGGTAGTTTCGCCGTGAGTGCGAGCAGCTGCTTCCACGACACACCGGGCCCATCGGCACCAGCTCCTGGAGTGACGGCCAGACAGAGATGCGTGATGTTGGGCAGAAGCTTCGGAGGAAGCGACGGTGCCTCCGCCGTGTCCCAAGAGTCATGTACCTCTTCCGGTGCCAGAGCCAGCTGCAGCGGGAAGAGCACGTCAGCCAGTTCCTTGACTGACATGGAACAGCCGATGGAGCCCGTGAGGTCGAGGAAGTAGATGTCGTTGTTCAGAGACACAAGGTCCTCGGGTTCCTGGGACAGCTGGGCCCCGTCCTCTTCGTCAATGGCGGGAGGTATCAGGATGTTGCGCAAGTCCGCAGCGGACAGACCGGCCTCGTACCACAAACCTACGTACCTGGCCAGAGAGGCCCGGACTCGGCTGGGAAGCGTGTGAAGGTAGTACCGATCATAATCCCTCTGGAGTTCCCAATTCAAAGCCATCCTGCGCAATAACAGGTCCGTCAAGCTGCCCTTGTCCGGCTCGTAGGAGCCCGGTAGGCCTTTGACGGCGCCGCGAACGGCGATGGCATGGGCGCTGTTGTAACGGGTGGCATTGCTGCAAGAACGGGAGAGCCAGCTGCGGGGAGGTGGCGGACCGGGAGGGACTCGTCTCCCTGTTGCGTCAAATCTCGGGACACGCCTGGGTGGCAGAGGAGGCGGTTCTGGGATATGGAGGATCTGTCGGATGGCAGGCGGGACGGTGGGCGTGGCTGCCAAGGATGCTGCGGTGGTACGACTTGAGGAGGCGTGGGAGGATCGGCGGAGATCGGCCAAGAGTTCGTTAACGCCCTTGCGTTGGCTTTCTGTTTCCCGTGGCTTTCGTGTCAGCTTTCTGGGTTGACACCGCCGATATAGTATAGGGGGAGGGAAAGGGGGATGAACGGTAGGTAGGAAACGTCACGTTCGGAGACGCGGTGGGGGGTGGGGGGAGCTGGGGGGGATGTGACGGGAGGTACTCACGGCCAGATGTCGAGGCTGAAGCTGAGGCGCCCAACGATGCGGGGGCCGTGGATTGCGGCTTCGAAAATAGGGATTGATGCCTTTTCTTAGGCATGCCCGAGGAAATCTCAGATACGAGAAAGCTGTGGCGGAAGCTCCCGTGAGGAAGCTGGAGGGAGAAGTCGAGATGCACCTCAATGGCAGACAAGAACTGAGGGCGGTGGGCGGGGGAGGGGTGCAGAATCGCAGCAAACAACCTCGGGCGAACGTTTGTCGCTATGTACTGCAGCAATTTGCGTCTGCCTGGACGAGAAGGGGGAAAAAGCGTCAGCGACAATGATGACCAATTTGCTCCCGCTGGATTGTTAGTCACAGCAGGTCAAAGCCCAGCCAAGCAGTCAGCTTCCGCAGCAATCGTCGGAGTCACACTTGATAGTGGAGTTGGTCAGAATCCTTAGTACGCACGCATGCACCTGCAGTACGTACTCCACAAAGTGCCTAAGGTAGGGCGATTCGGATTGTGGAGCTGATTGAAGGTGTGGCTTGACTTGGAGGATGGCCAGGAGGAACGTTACGGATACAACGTCATGTTCTTTGGAAGAAGGGGGGGGGGGGGAGGCGGCGGAAGAGGGCGTGCGTGCCTGCTCTTGGCATCCATGTTTGTCAGCGCCCGGAGTCGGCCCTGATTCGCTCAAAGCACATTCCATCGCAGTCAGTTTCCAGCATCAGCAAAGAGTGTTGAATGAGTCTTCGACAAACATGTGGTCCGTGCATCCCGGCCGGCCCGGACAATGAGGGCCGGATAATGAGGCCGGACCAGCCCACAGACCGAGACGCCTTTGACAGTGTGGAGCCCCGCTTTGGCGCCGGTCTTGCGGCGACCCACTTCGGACTGTTTGAACCTACGGTGCCTTAGTCCCGTAGCTACTCCCAACTTTGCCGGCCCGATTGCCATTTGCGTCCACTTGTTCCCAGCCCCATCCGAACGACATGCCCCGCCTTGCCGTCAAGGCGGCTTCTTAGAGTTTGAGACTACACATATTACCCATGTGCCACAAACCTTGGTGCGCTGTTTCAGCATCGTGAGGTGAGGGTGAGCAGTTGCCAATTCCTTGGACCCAAAATGTACCTACTCTATCCGGATCTGGAGAAGAAGTCCAGGCCCCATGCCGCTGAGGGACCATGGCGCATCGTCCTTGACTGTGATTGTCGACTTGACATCTTGGTAAAGCAGGGTTGGTGGAACCTGAAATTTGACAGGTAGCAGACCCATGCCCGATTCCATGTGGCAAGAACGTCGTGGAAAACGAAGCTTATTGATAGATGAGCGCTGTTTGGGTAACCCTCTTCTTGCAGAGTGTGGGGTCTGGAGTCGAAGCATTCGTGGCGCCACCCGCCCCGGACAATGTTGATCATCTGCCTGCTGGGCTTGTTGTACCTTTCTGATCTTCCGGTCTACCTGGAGATGAACTCACTCTGTCCGCGCCTGCAAAGGACTGGTTAAAATTGCCGTTATCGGTACCCTACTCGTGGCTTAGATGCGCGGGCGCCAGTGGCCTCTTCCGGTACCGACGCGTTGTCTTTTCAGCTGCTCTTGTCAGATGATGTCTCGAAGTAGTAGAGGGTCTCTCGGTGACCGGCTCGGAGTGGGCTGACATGAGCATCGGGTGCCCGCACCATTGGCCCTGCTGTCATTCGACCTTCTAGTAGATTCACTGGCTTTCCGTGAGTGCGAGTCATTGGCCCATCGAAGAGGCTTTGTTCGCTCAACTTTAACGAGGACTAGATTACTTCTGCAATCATTGAAGGCGCACAACAGCGACCATCCTGATGTCCTAGCAGTGATCGCCTGCCGTCTTCCAGAGAGGGCTGACGGACGATGGACCGATGGACTATCCATGAAGATCCTGTAAAACGTTGCATCCATAATAACCCATGGTTGAATCCCGACAGGCGGGCCTGAAACCGGTCTGGGAAACAACGTGCATGGAAGCCGCGCACGGTGTTCAGTACTGAGACGCTGAGGTGACGCTCAACTTTCTCTCCTTGTGCTCCCAATATGACAGGATAGTCTTGGTAATGCTCCGGGCCACAGGACTCTTGCGGTCCAGGCCTTGTCATGGTTCATCATGGGTCGATGGTTCAGGCGGGCGACAACTCACGAGTCTCGGTCCATGTTCATTTTGCGTCCTCCAGGAGGCTTTCTGAGGGGGACTCAAGAAGTCTTCCACAGCATGACCAGGGACTTGGTCGTGGAGACGAAACGTGGCTTTGTGGCGAGAAATTTGACTGATGGGAATTTTTACGTTTGACAGGTCAAGACTAATGGTCCCGATGTGGAAAGAGGAAGCGAACAAATCCGGAAATCTGTACCCTTACAATGACCAGATCCGACGTCTGAGCGGAGCTATAGCAACGTGGTGAATACCCTGCTCTTTCAGTGAGCCCATGATACACTTGTCGGCAGATGGCCGGTGTACACCATGATGATCCCAAGTAGATGGTTCATACGCAGGTCTTCATCTGCTCCGTGTAGCGATACAACTGGCTATGTGCGAGGCACCCCCTTTCCGCGTGGCCACATACGAGCAAGCAATCCACAGCTTTTGGACTGGAATAGTCTAGGCTTTGGCACCCGAAACCAGACGATACAGCTCTTCGAAAAGATGGCATCGGCACGAAAGCGTGACGTTCAGACCCTGATTATGCGTTGACAAGCACTGCTTGTCGAGATGACTGAATCGAACCTCTTTCTCGACCAAGTCCTGAAAAGCGTATCCGCGTTTTCGGCTAACGCCCTCCTTGTACCACCTCAACTTGGAGCTGTCGCGATAGGGGGCCTGTCGCCCCAAAGTCACCGAGGAAAACCCACGGTTAGTCGCGATCGCTGGCTCTTGAACCTGGCAGAGCTTCATCTCCAGAACCCAGCCGGGTACTCGAGGATTGAAAACAGACTGGTTGCTCTTTTTAGTTGGCGTTTCAGTGAAAGAAGGTTGATCTGGGGCAAAATTCGAAAGGAGCCGGCAGAGAGCGGGGGAGTGCAAAGGCTCATTTTTCGGAGGGCGAGCATCTGAAGACTCCGATCTCTTGACCGCTTCTTTGATGACTTTTGTGAGGCAACCAGCCCGTTGGGAAAGGCAACAATTCCATCCGCCACCCCTCCTACCGGGGGGTGGCTCATTGCAGGCCAAGGATCTAGACGCCCGCTTCGAAACTTCGAAACAGAGAAGACGCGGTGGGCCGCTGTCAACCTGTTGAAGCAGCTGAGATTCCCCTGAGATCCCCTTCCCGCCGGTAGCTAGGCCTTTAACCCAAGGTGCGTATTGAAACCCAATTTCTGGAGCTACACCGAGGATGGCTCAAGCGCCAAGAAGGCAGTTTTGGCAATTTCAGCATGTCTCACTTCCTCTCAGATCAGAAATTGTCAGATTGTGCAAGCACCAAGCAGATGACCCCGAGTTTGTGTTTAGGAGAATTCGAGTTCGAGTTCTTGACGAGTCTAAGGGGCCTCAATGAAGAGGCATCATATTCCTGAGAGCCAGACGGCAGCATTGCATGGCCAAGTAATGAACGGCCGGGTCTGCACGCAAGCCAATCCGCTTGGCTCAAGACTATGGCGGCGCCGGGGCGAGATGGCGACATGTGAACCCAACCGGTCAAAAGCTAACCCTTACAGTTAGCGATAAATTGCCGTCCGCAGAGATGGGGTGTAGACGACGAGCTTGCATCAAATAGCATTCAAAGAGACAACATGTCGCAAGCCGCGGTAGGGTACCAGAAAGGCCCTTGGGGGTACCTGGTGGTACATGGAGCGGGAACAAGAAACGTCGACTGAGGGCGGGACGATCAGTAGCCCCGAGTGCGCAGATGTTGAATACAGCCTCGGATGCAGAGGTCGAGCCCTGCATTGTAGGATGCGAGGAGAAAGTAGCTTGTGAGGGTTGGCGAGAGCAAAGGAGGTTATTTTGAGGCCTGCCTAGAGACAGAATGTGATCCAATACTCCACTCAAGAAGCCGGACGAAGTCGTTTTAGGCCATTGCAGAAAAGGGAAATGCCAAAGCGTTTTCGAAGGCGAATGCCGCGCTTGGTTAGTTTGTGGTTGTTTGCATCCTGGCGGAATTCTAGAAGACGTGTTTGTCTACTATGGCATTGTGTCTCGACAAAAGCCATGTTGAGAGCAAAGAAGAGTGCATCGAGGCATGCGCTCAACAGAGAGATTGAGAGACGGGGAAGAAAAGAGAAGAAGCACGGGCTGCAGTCGTTTCTGCGATGGTGATGCCCACACTCACTCGCACGCAAATGGGCAATGCAAAGCGACTGAGGGAGTGGCTTACACTTGGAAGCGACTGATGAGGGAGGGCCCATTGTCCCAAGGCCAAGGGAGAGTCACAGTCGGTGAGTGGTCAATGAGGGGTACATAGTGGACAGGCCAGGCCAGGGCAACAGCAAACGTCCGTGACATGAGAGCGAGAGATGCAGCGGGCCACGAGAGGCCGCTTGAAGAACTTCACCACCGTCCTTCTTCTCTACCTTACCTGGGAAGGCACAGTGCAAGGCAGGAAGGAACGGGCTGCTGGTGTGGAGTGGTGACGGGAGCTCTTGCCTGCCGGGAGCTGCACAGTTTACTAAGTACCTAATCCAATAGGTAGGTAGGTACCTTCCATTACCTTTCCCAGCTCAAGGAAGGAGGCAGGGTCGAGTGGAGGGCTGGAAGACAGTGTCAAACCCACCAACAGGGAACTGTACATCACAGTTCTGCAGCAAAATGCACTGTGCGCCCCGTAGAGGTGAGCCTACCTTCACCGTCCAATGACCGCCTCCCGTCTGTTTCCTACCTGGCAGTGCCACGGACTCCACTCCTACACCGTACCGTGCGAATCAAATGACATGAGGCGGGGTGGGTTGGCCCTCGCGCTTCTCTGGTCACCGACACCGAGACAGTGCAGAACTTCCTCCTCCATCCACCACGCAGCGGTTTTGACGACTTGTCTCGCCCAACATTCAGCCAACCAGCCAGCCAGCCAGCCCACCCCCCTGGCTCTCTTGTTTCCTCCTTTCTTTCAAGCCCACCCGAGCCTTACGCCCTGCTATATCCCCAGCAGCGAATGATCAGTCAACATCCTGGCTTCCGTCACCTTTCTGGCATGGCTACAGAGTACGGTACCCAGGCCTGCCACGCCGGTGGAGGGCTCCAAGGCACCACCACCGCGCCAGAGAACTTGCCTGGTGCGTGAAAGCACCAACGGCGGAGCGGAGCCTTGACGATAAATCTACCACACTGGGCTTCCGACACCTGTCATGCATCGCTACGCTAGACGCACGCGCAGACGCAGACGCAGACGCTGTCCAGCAAGCAAGAAGCAACAAGCAAGAAGCATACGTGGATTCCAATCTCCGTCACCTCACCGGTCTCGCCATATCCCTCCCCGCTGTGCCATCCCATCGTGATCAACAGCAGCCAACGGATTTCAACTTCTCTATCCCGCCGCGATCAAAAGAGAGAGAACCTTGCCGTATCATACCGACTCTTGGCCTTGGCTCCCGCATCGCAGATACGTACAGGCACCGAGGGCCCTTGCCTACGCGGAGGCTGCCTGCTTCGCAGCGATGCTACGCCGCCGGTACAGAGTACGTACATTGCCTATGGATTCCATACCGACATGGCGGGCAGGCCGGCTCAGGATTCAAACATTACCCCCAGAACAACGCACCCAGGCAGCCCTTTTGCATATTGCACCGCACCGCACCGCTCCAATCACCCCATCAAAATTCTGTGTCACCATTCTGCCCGCCCCCTGTTGTGGCCCCATGCAGTAGTGACTTGCTTTCTGCACGCCAGACCGTCGCCATCAGCATCCGCTCCTACATGCCATCACTCAGGCTTTCAGCTGCCTGAAGCGGTCTCCGCCTACAGCTGATGGAGAAAGGACCCTGGTGCTCGTGATACGTCACATCACACAAGATCTGATCTATGGACGCAGGCAGTGAAGAAACATGGGGAACCGGTACCCTTTACAGTTTCATCTGGCAGCCGGCCGCGAAAACCCGGCGACAGCGATGACGAGGGAGGAAAATAAGCTAACCTTCACACATCTGGGGGCGTGGTTTGATGTGCATATCGATGGCATATGGCCGGCCACAACAGAGAGATCATCAGCCTGCCTCCGTTTACGCCGTGCGTACCATTCGTCCAAACATCAGCAGCTACCTTGGACCCAGCCACGGACAGGTCACAGTCAGGTTCCAGCGGCCCGATCCGATAGTACTGGAGCATACTCGACGGTCTACCTGCCAACCCATGGCAACCACTCTTCCTGGGCTCCCTCGGGAAATGGTCCCACGCGTGGTGCATCAGCATGCTTTGCTGCAAGTTCTAGCTCTGGAGCTCGGCAAACAGCCCCCTCAGCTGTTCGATCTGCGATCTTATGCCCTGCTGAATTGGCAATCTCATCACCCCGACCCCGACGTCGCCGTCCATCCGACCAGTCCGATTGACTAAAAAGCTCCGAAATCAGACTTCTGAAACAATCAAGTTGACTTGATGCCTCAAGTATGGTGGCGCGCAGACGTAACAGCTGGCTAGATCATTCCGGACTAGTTGACGGGAACCTGCACAAACGACCAATCCAACTAACGCGTCCGTCTATATTGAGGCTGCATTACAGAACACGAGGTGTAGAAGTCAATCCTCAGGCCCTGAATCTGAGCTCTTCTGGCTCGAGATTGGCTGTTCATCGCCCTATCCAGAGGAGCCCGACTGTCTGGAAATGGAGGATTCCAGGTTTCTTTACCCTCCTCGGGTACGCTGTAATCTCATTGGGCCACCACGGAGAGGCACAGCTCAACAGGTTCTATTTCTGCGCCCTTGCTAGCTAATCCCACATTGGAAAACTCGCTATTTTTACAAACTTCGGAGGAGAACTTTTGAAGTCACGATGAGTTGGTGCGCAAAGAAGGAGTCCGGTACCTTCCCAGAAACACAGCATCCTGGGGCAAATGATCCGATGGCACCTTGTCAACCGGTTCAAGCGAAACCCAATTCCCCTCGCACGTGTCATGTGGCGAGCGTGTCTCGGCCGGCAGAGACACGCCTTCTTCACTGTTTGAGCTCCTAGACATGAGAGCTGGCTTGGGCCTCGTCGAACGTTATGTCAAGATAAACAAGCCACCGGGGCTGTTAGCTCGGCGCGGCAGCTTTAGGGCCGAAAGCTTCCTGGTGGATCTTCAACAATCCCATGATTGTCGCCAGACATGTTGTTTTGGCGTGGCTGTGGAAGCCGCGAGATTGCTTCCGTCATCCCCGTCAGCCCCGACCGCAGGTTCTCTGGCTGCATACAATGGTTCCGACTACACGAGGTCAAAGCTTCGTCATTCGCATTCACTAACATGACCTTCTTTGAGCCAATCCAACAACATCGACGCAGGGTGTTGGTCGAATCTGGACGTCATGCGGAACCTCGATCTCAGTGGCCGAGATAGTCCGCTAAACGCCCACGACCTGCTTTTACGCCTGCAACGTGCCGTTGATAGCCCACTTTCACGCCTGGGCAAATCCCTTCCCTATCAGAAGGGGTTGTTTGTGGCGTTTCATCCAACCCTTGACGGACGGGTAGCCGCAGATTTGCTGCATGGAAGGAGAGGTCAGCGAGGCTTGGAAGGCGCTCTTCCGTTCACAGCACAAGACCTCGACTTACCCGGATACACACCGACGCAGGTCAGTAGATCCTCCGCTCCTTGGCCTCAGAAGGAAGAGGCTTCCGAGGCCGAGATCCATCCGTTGTATCATCGACAAACCACGTAGACGCGGAAGAGCAATCCCATATTGTTGATAGGGACAGGCATAATGATGTCGACCATTATGTCGACCAGTCGATAGGCTGAATAGGGAGGTGTCATTCCACCCTGATTGCGTCCTCAGACACGGACGCAAAGGCTGGCTTGCTTGAATGACCCCGTGGCCTTGGGCCATTGAGAAGCTTGGCTAGCAAACTCACGTCGTACGGGGCCCTCACCCCCTGCCAGAATACCTCGTCTACGGCGGCTTTGGTTCTTTCCCGGTACTTTCACTCGACGGCTTGGCGATAGACAGCTTTCTGTTTTGCGCCATCAGTCTACACGCCCTGGAACCGTATTCCAGCAAAGAGACCACCAACACAAGGCGACGCACGTCTTTTCGAATAGGAGACTGGGGGTATTGGGAGCTCTCCACACAATTCAATGTCCCTTCACAGTTGTCTCAGAGTCTGCACAACCCATTTGCTCATGCGTGGGGACTGGCCCCCGCCCTGCCTTCCGACTTCGTCTTCCTTGCCTTCGACTCCATGGCCGCCGGCAGTGTGCTTGGAAAATTTAGCTATCTGCTCTTTCTCTTGGTCTGTGCGACATATGTCGAGCAGTAGGTCGCATGTTGAGCCTCCAATCCATCTTCGCTGGTTTTGTGCGATCTCGAGCCAGCCACATCTGGGGGCCTGGTATATAGACACCTGATTTCCAAGATCCTGCACTCTGTTGGTCTTTTCGCATCTTCTTGATCTGACCGTTCATTTCAAAATACCAAGCCTTTCCTCGGACGTCGAACCCATCAACGCAGGCATCGAAACTAGCTCGCCAAAGCTTCCTCGCATCAAGCACGCTACAACGACGAAGCTTACACATCCTCGCGCCATCACAGTTGAAGTCCTGTCAGCTTATATAGCAAATCCGTCAATTGACTGATTTGCGCAAAAGTCGAACGAGACTCAGAGCCCGTGAGTACAGATATTTCCTTGTTTTATACTTGGTTGATTCTCACTCATCCGTTTCCTGGATGACGAACGGCAATGAGATTTGCACCAGGGGGCGCTGGCTTAGACCCATATTGCCGGCTGCACCGCGCCAGGCCCCGACTCGTCTCTATTTGAGGGGTTTGTCGGCGCTCGGAGGGGATTTCTTCTGAGGCGCAGGCGTCGAATTGAACGGAGCAGGAGCTGAAGCTGACGGTCTCCAGGTAGCACAATTCGTTCTGCTCTTCTTCCTGCGAGTGAGTGAGCATCCATCCCATAATGTTTGATTCCTCGGGGGAAACGACCGAGTGGATCGCTGGTACTCGAACGAACGTCCAAGACAAAAGACGACGAGTGGAAGTATGCTGTATGGCGCAGAGTGGACGTCGAGTTAAGCTGGCTGGCTTGTCGATTTTACCGGCACATCTGCGTGGCTTACGCCGTACCCGTCAATGAATGGCGGTGTCCCTAACATGACCAATCCTGCCGGCTTACGGGGTCAAAAGAAACGACCAGTCTCCTTCCCGGCGAACATCAACCTCAGTTGCTGACAGCAGTTTCAAAATGTTCAGGTCGAGCAGGATAAAGGGCTACAGACAAACCCTTGGTATGACCGGAGCACTTTTGGAGAGTCAACCGGTGAGTGCTATGAAAACCCATTTCTCAGGCCAGAGAGGGGGAGAGGGGGAGGGGATAAGACATATTAAGACCAGATGGAGCAAGGCAGGATCTCGTGTCAAGTCGCAGGAAACGTCCGACAACCAACAGGAAGAGAGGGGCGTTCGGGTCTAGCGGGCAAAAGACGGACAAGGGTATTCTGGGAGAGCGTCAGCGTCACAGTTTGCTAACAACTGGGGGTTGGAAAAAAAGAGGATCGAGGAACTGGGGCGAGAAGACCGCTGCTCCAGCACCAGCACCAGTACCAGCACAGGTACGAGCGCAAGCATCAGCACCAGATCGCCGCCCATCTACTACGGCGCGACACCCCTCGTCGCCGGAGACGACCGTCGTATGAATCCTCAACAGCTGCCCAAGGTACCTTAGCTTTTATCTTTTTTTTCCCCTGTCGGATCTCATCCCGTTTCATTTTCAGTCCAGCCCAGTCCAATCCGATCCTTTTCTGTCCGTTCCCCTGCAATGCGACTTCGCGCTTCGTTTTTTCCCCTTTCCCGCCTTCCCCTACAATCTCTCGCATCTAGACGCTGTGTTGGACACACAACGGACGACGGCCCCTACCTTACAAGAGGAGTCGAGCGTACCGTCAGCACAACAACCATGGGCCGGCCGGCTTGATTAACCCAATCAATTTGTCCTCGGGGTTTGCTGGCCATTCGGCGGGGTTTCGCACTTGCACAACGCACACTTCAACATCGTACAACTCAGCACAGCAATCGTCGGGAGACAGCCTGCTTTTTGACAAGAAACGGAGAAGTCAGAAAGCAGAATCGACACGACTTGACGGGTGGCGGGCGAGCCAAAGGGCAGGCAAGGACTGTCACTGGGCCAAGCCGCGTGCCGACGGCGTGATCCTGTCCCGAGGGGCAGCCAGGCGAACGAGCGGGCCGAGTGTGAGGCTTTGCGAAAAAGAAAAGAAAAAGGTGCGTACGCGATTCGACGCTCATTGCTTTTTTTTTTTTGTTTCTCCCGCCTAGTGCACCTTCATCAGCGGCAGTTTTGATTTTGTTTGAATCTCAATCATTTCCCCTGATTTTCTATTCCACGGCCTCCGTCTGCAAGAAAACAGAAAAACGGACGGGAAGCACGAGGGCGCGCACACAAGAACCCCAGAGATGGATGCGCTTATCGAGGTCGGAAGCTCTCCTACTTTAGCCGGGTTTGGGACGATCAGTTCGACTCCCTGGACCTGGCGAGGTGCACAAGACAGGATGCTATGGCCCTTTTCATGCGGATCGGTACCACACCAGCGCCGTGCATCTGGCACCCAGGAGGCACTGCGATGCCTGGCAGCGCCTCTCGTCCTTGGGCGAGGTAATGGGATGTAGGCTGGGCGGTTGTGCAGGTGGGAGTGGGTGTGCGTGTGCCTCTCCTCCTCCTCCTCCTTCCCATGGCCATCTCTCTTGTGCGTTCGTGTGGTGTGTGTGTGTGTGCCCACCGCGCGACTTGCCTTTTCGACCCCATCGGCTAGCTCACACGGTCGTCTGCAAGCAATTGCAAGACAGCCAGCTAGTCAAGTACTTTGTGGTGCCTGGCGGTATCAGATCGTACTGCCTGTATCCCATGTTGCCTCCTCTCCTACTTCTCATCGGTCGGTCTCAACAAGACGAGGCCAGACCGGTCAAACACCCACCCCTCCGCTGCTGCTGCCACGAGCACCTCCCCTGCCCTCAAGACGTTTTGACTCCTGTTGCCTCTTCGTGGGAAGATGTCTCTCTTACGTGTCTCGAGCTAACTTATCACGACTGATGGTCTGCAGGCCACACTCACTTGCTCGTTAGTCTGTCTATCCTCGATGGATCACACCTGAAGCGCCCCTCACTGCTCAAGCACGGCTTCCTGAAGGTTGCAACAACACAGCGTCGAGATCGGATTGCGAGATCTTGTTCATTGTTTTAATTTCCGTTTCTCAGCAAGAATCATGGTCTAACAAGTCCCGCCCCGTAACTAGGAGTTTGAGCCGTCGACGGGGTATGACTACCTTGACATCCAGCCATCAGGCAATGACATGCGGTATGTGGCAGTTCCATTGGCTTTTTCCTCCCCTTCTTCTGGGGGACTCGTCAAAACAATGTCCCCCTCTCGATTCCTGTGCGCTGGTCAGGCTGCAGTGTGCTAGTCGGCTCTGGTTCCTTTTTAAATGTCCAGACATCTGCAGCCCCCGGCAACAAACTTGTCCCCCCCACCCCAGCAGTCATATTTTCACACACAAGTGTAGTCCCAGACTCTTGGCTCAGCCTCTCGGTTCTTGGTAGGGTCTCTGCTCAATCTGTCTAGCTGGGCAAGCCTCGAGCAAGAATTGCGTTGCAGAGACAAAAAGAAGGCCGCTCTCATTAGCGGCAAAGGAAAAAAAATCAAATCAAAGAAGTCCAGACACAGACACCAGAGGAAGAAAAACGCGAGAGAGATGAAGAGGCATGGGTAGCCGCCTTCTGGCGCCCAACGTGCCACTAGAAACCCACAGGCATTCCCGCCTATCGCCGCGAGATGGTGGTGTGTCCTCGCATTTCCCGATCCTGTATCCGCTGGCGGTTGTGCAACACGCTGCTGGCAGTACGACGAGCTGGGAGCTGGTCGCACTGACACTGTGTCTCGCATGCGGACGCAGTACAGCAGTTGTCGTGTCAGGCTTCCAACGCTCTGCTTTGCTTTACTTCCCTTTGCCTTGCACATTACTCTCTCCTTGGCGGGGGAAAAGACACTCGGGCTGACGGGAACATCAGATACGAACACAACGTCAATGCTCCTCTGTCGACGATCGAAGGCCCTCCACAGCAGCCGACGGCGCTCTTAAATCTGTTCAATCCACCTATAACCACCACCACTCCGTACTCCACTGACAGCGGCTTCTACCACACTGCTGCCTCTCACGTCTTTCCCAGCCTGGATGTCAGGCCGCGCCTGGGCTCAAAGTAGGTCGCACACCGTCCCCCCGAACCCCCGACAGCGCCGAATAGGATTGCGTCTATCCAGACAAGACGGACGGGCTCTATGCCCTCTAGCTCTAGCTCTAGACAAATCATGGCCAAACTCCCAGACTTACCTGACAGTAGCACCTCTTCGACGGGCATGCACCGCTCCACAGCATTACCCCATCCTGGCACACAAATCAGTGTGAGAGACCAGTATACTTCCGCGACACCATCTTTCAGGAGGGTCTCGGAACACCAACCCAGATCTCCATCTTACCCAACCGCTTTACGCCGCCATCCCATATCTCCAACTTCAAGCCCGATTGCCGGTTTCACCGCACCGACTGCCTTGAGGATGGATGCCGCTGGCCATTATCCTCCGTCCTCTTCCAGGACACCCATGAGCGTGCCTCCGCTCAGCCCCATCACGCCCTTGGGCATCCTCCAATATTCCGATGGAGGAGTCGTCAAGATCGACATACATGGTAACATCGACAAAGGCTTCTTCCAGTCCGACGGCGACTGGACTTGCTACAGAAGGAACTACTTCTCCTGTATTTGCTCCTTCAGTCTGACCCCCCACTATCCCGGCCAGCCGCTGCAATTCACTCTGTCCGGGTCCACGCAGCCTTACAACGTCATCGGCTTCGCAATGTCTATCTCGGCTGTCGTTGCAGAGAACGACTCCCACGTAATCGAACTGGTCCAGCACACGCCTAAGAGAGACAAGGGCCCAATCGCGAAGCCCGAGAAAGTGCGCCTTCATCCCAAGTACCCTCACCAAGCGCATCCCCTCGGGCTATACCCTCACGACACCAGCCTCGGAGGGCCATCCAGAATCGGCGGCGGCTTCGCAGACGGCGGAAGTTTCCCAGGTGCCCAGCAGGGGGGCGACTCATTCCAAACGGAGCACACCTTTGAGCGCATCCAGTTCAAGCAGGCGACTGCTAACAACGGGAAGAGGAGAGCTGCTCAACAGTATTACCATCTGCTGATTGAACTTTGGGCGGATGTAGGCCAGGGACCTGATAACCTCGTCAGGGTCGCGTACCGAAAGTCGGCCAAGATGATTGTGCGTGGTCGTTCACCAGGACACTATCAGGCCGAAAGGCGCGCCAGCACAAGCAGCGGGCCAGGTGGATCGGGCGGCAGCATATCCGGCTACCCGAACAACACAATTCTCGGATCGGAATACTCTGGAGGAGGGGCGGGAATGGCAAATTGCTACGGAGGAGGCTACGACACACGCGGTAGTCAGTACGGAGCACGCCACCATACCGAACTCGAACCTATGATCCCTCCCGAGGACGCCAAAGCCATCGATACAGCCAAGGAGTACCGTTACTACCCCGGTGCTATCTACGAGCCGCCCGAGTCGGCAGGAGGAGTGGAAATGTTCCAAAGCCACCAAAGTCGGCAGGATCACATGCCGCACCTGGCTTCGCAATACGATCCACTTCATGACAGGGTCAAGCGTGATCCCGAGAATGGAATGCTGCCAAGCATCTTCCAACCCGGACCACTCATGTCGAATCAACGCTGCGGTCCGTACGAGGGCAAACCTACATCAACAGGCTACTACCCGACAATGGTTCCCCAGTCTGGAGTCAACCTCACCAACATGACTTGAGCAAGCACTGGGTGAAAACCAGGCTCCACGAGGGTGGATCACGGACAACCAACATACAAATACACACACTGAAAGCAGCACGAAAAAATGGGTCGAACGAAGAATGATGGCAAAATGGTTGCTCTGCTCTTTTACATTCTTCTGGATTTTGTTCACTGGAGAAGTATTCGCAACAATTGGCATAAACTCGACGGCGAGAATCTTGGCGCATGGAAATAGTATAGGGATTTTATTTGGGACGACGCGATATCCGAACGAGAAAGGTTGCATGTTGGAAGACTCAGACAACCTAGTGAGGAAACAAGGGTTATGGCGAACCGGCGCGTGGGATACAGAAAGATAATTTGTGGCTTGGCTTGGGGACGGCGGAATTTTCGCCCGGCACGCCCAGAATCAAAACAACACGTCATGGGAAGGAAAAGTTTGGGGGAAATCATGTCCACGGGATACGGAGAACGACAGGCATTGTTAGGGATACCCGCTTGCGCATTTCGGATTCTCCTTTTGGTCTTTTATTTCTTTCTTTCCATCTACACCCCCCTTACCCCAAACTTTTTTGGCTGGTCACCCCTCCATCTTCTCTTCTCTGGGCATATGGTTCTGTAATAATGCGAGGATATGGAACATTCGCTTCAGCAAAGACAACTTCTTCTTTTTTGGTGATATCACACTTGCGGACGAGACAAAGGGCGGCGAGAGGATAGGCCGGTGAAGAGAAAGACAGGGACCGGCGTTCAGGATGCGGCTCGAGTCGTCAGGACACGAGCCGTCTAGGGCTTGGAAACTTGGGCCAGGTACTGGGGAAGCATGGGCGGGCGCCGATGCCAGGTACTTGGTATGTTTTCTTCCTGGGAGTGCAGTATTTGCGTACCTGTTATCTATCCTCTTTTTTGCAATACCTGATATGAGGCAAAAATATGACATACTCTTTCGCTCCTCAGCAGACGAAGCCAACCAACGCGCAGTTTGCTTTCTCGTGTATATTTGCGTGCCTGTTTGCCACTTCTTGCTCCCATCATGGTCTCTGGCCATCATGCGGACTCGGGACCAGCCCCGACTGGGCGATATGCGATGAGCTTCTGAATAGGGATGCATCTTTAGGCAGCGGAATGGGCTACGGAACGAGTGTAGATGCGGACGGCCCCGGGGTTTAGCTGGATGCAAGACCGAGAAAGGGCCCGCAAGCGGTCGTCGTCGTGAATGCAGAGAGCGACAGAGGGAGACCATAGGCGGATCAAAGGGCAAACTTCAGGTTCTGTTGCGGCAGTTTCCTGCATCGTACTTCTTTCATGTCGGCTTGGCCCGGTAGATCCCTGCCTCGCCATCGGGTAGACGAAGGGTTGACATTGGACGGGCTGCAGCGCGCGGCAGCAATGGGTAGACTACAGAAGCAACAACAATATGGAATAATGGGATGGTAAGGGGGGGCTGGGGGGGAGGGTGGCCTGGAGAGAAGTGAGACTGGTTGGCTTGTCGTGGTGTGCGTCGCACCAACGAATGCCATTTCCGGGCTGTTCCCCTCTTCTTTCCTCCTTCTTTTCCCTCGCTCTCAGGGCTGTTTCAAGGAAGTGTTCCCCGTATCCCCCGCTGCCCCCCTCCATTTCTCTCTCTCTCTTCCCCCCCCCCCCCCCCCCCCCCCCCCACACACACACACACATCCATACACGGCCCCCCCAGCCTCAAACGCGGAACGGTGAAGAAACGGGGAGAAGAAGAGGAACGGGGAGAAGAAAGTGTGTATGTGGTGACGGGCACAACACCTACACACAGAACCCGCTGGTCTGGTTCTATACGAACCTTGTCGGAACACAGCATGAACGACGGGAAAGGGGGGCGATGGCTTGATTTGCGGTGAGCTCGGCTGGCAGAGGTGGAATTGCAAAGGGGGCTGAGGGAGTAGGTGGTGATGATGCCGGGAGCCGCTGGTTCATGCGAGTTTGCGGGCGGGAGACGCCGGGCGTGCTACGCGGACTTTTTCCCTTTCACTGTAGTATGTGGCCCGACAATGATTGGGATGATACAGGGGCAAAAGTCGAGAGCAGGAGGTTCTGTTAGTTCCCGTCGCTGATGAATGGGCTTGGTATGTTTGGTGGATGCTTCCTGTGTGTGTGTGTGTGTGCACGCGCAGCTAACCGTGAAAAGTGCGGCCCTCCACCAAAGGGGTGTAATGGGAGGGGGCGCCCCTTGATGTCGGCGGAGAGCAGGCAGAGACAGGCGGAAGGTAGCTTCTCGGATGGTGTTCGGATGGTGGAGGGTTAGCCGCACCGCATCAGCGCATCCCGGCGCCCTCCTACGGCAGCCCCTGTGACCTGCCTCTAGTTCCTGGCCCGGACGAATATGACAGGTAAGTTTGTGGGTTTGGGTTGGTTGGAGGGTCTCTCAGTCAAGTCGCATGTAAGATTGCATTCTGGCACCGAGGCGTTGGTTCGCGGCGCTTGGCTGGGAGGTGATGGCCCCAGTATGGTACCATTTGACGGTTGTCATCTTCGTTGGAGGAGACTCATGTGACGCGGTGAGGTATCCGGAGAACAAGAACATGGTATGTGAGTGCGCGCGCCGGATCCAAGGGAAGTGGGAGGCAAGACGGACTGACGTTGCGAATTGCAGGCGTTGCGAAATGAACGAAACCGGGGGAAGTTGGAATGAGAGAGAAAAACCCGCGACTTACAGCTGGCTGCAAGCCATACATGGATCTAATCATGATCTCGATTTTGGTCCCCGGTCAAAAATGAACCCTTGTTACTCACACTGGTCTCCTCTCCCTCCACCGGACTGTTCTCCTGTCCCTGAGCTATTTTGGCCGGGGTGTTTTATTGCGGCAGTCTAGAAGCTGCCTACGGTAGACGAGGAAAAGAGGGGTGGGAGGGCTTACGTCGAGGTTTCTATGGAAAGAAAAAAGAAGAAGGGGGAAGAACAAAACCGTCTGCATGTTTCATCGCGCATCACCCTTTTTCCCCTCGTTTTTGATTCTTTTTTTTCTTTCTTTTTTTGGTGCCCCCTCCCCCGGGCCCCCAACGCTCCGAGAGTGCAACGTGATGTCAAGATGGGAATAGACGACGTCAAACGTGTGAGGGGTCCACCGGTTCAACTGATGTCCAATTAAGGTTTTTGAGTGACATCCCGGACCTCAGACGAGTTGTTTTAGTTTAGAAGCTAAGAGTGTTTTAGTGAGGAGTCTAAGACCTTCCAAGGAGGAAATTTCGGGCAAGAAGGGTTGAGCCTTAAAGTGAGGGGGAAGAGAGGTGGTTGGCTGGGCAGAAAAACGAAAAAGCAATGTGTGTGTGTGAGAGGAAGACAGAAAAAAAAAAAAAAAGACGGTCGGTCCGGGACACGCAGCAGACAGACATGCTGGACACACCCGACACGAGATGCCTGCCGCCCTGCCCTGTTCCTTGCTACATACGGATACCTTAGCTGAATCTGGATAGGGAGGTGCAGTACTTTCACTTTCGCAGCAGGGTAGCAGCGCTAGAAGAGGCACCTTTCTTTTCGGCATGGCCCTAATTATTCCCGCCCGTCACCTAGGTACTGCGCGGGGGCGGGAACCGGAGACCGGAGACCGGACGCCGAAGACCGGGGCAGCTCCCGTCCCTCACCTCCCATTCTTGACGTGCGCTGGTGATTGATTCCAGAAAGTGCTGGCTGTCAAGACCAATGCAGTTGAGTTGACTGATTCTGCTGAGCACAATGCGACTCCAGTAGGACTGCATAGTATATCTCCTCCTCTTTTGATATCTTTTCCCCTCCCATTGCAAGGGGGGAAAGACGCAGATATGGGTCCAGGTCTGACGGAAGAGGAAAATGCACTATTCAGGGGGACCCATGGAGCTATCGTTGGAGCGGGACCTGACGCAACAGAGGCCCCCAGTGTCCCCGGCCGTAATGAGATCGCGCTTCGGGGAGCGTCGGCGAATCGGGTACCTTGTCCAGGTTGCGGAGCGTGACCACCAGGCGGTAAACAGGGCAGGCAGTGTGAGGCTTTGGCTTTGCTCACGGTGAGAGCGGCGTCGGGATGTTTGCCTGGGACTTACCTAGGAGACAGGCGACAGAATAACAGTACACGCGGCACTTGTGGCCGCTTTCAACCAGGTATCGCCGGGACACCGAGTCGACGACACCTACCTACTTACGACTATTCGTACCGTCAAAGGTATGACCCGAGGGAATGGGGATCACGGTGGGGACCTCGAGCTGTCATGGTCTTGCAACAGGCAGGTGGGCTCCGGGTTTTCTGATTGAGGGCTGATCATCCGACCCAACCTGCCCCGCTGCAGCTGCGCAGTGTGTCTTCTGTCTGCCCAGAGCAGAAGACAGGTACCCACTCGAGATTAGATTGAACTACCTAACTTAGCTACCTACACAATACCTGCATACATCTTCTCAGCTTCCTTCCTCTTGCGTATTCCATGCGTTGTTGATCACCCATTCACCGACGGTGAGCCAAGAGAGGCCTCAATGCCCGCCGCAGCCTTGCCGACCTTTGGAGCGTCACATCTTTCATCGTTACGACCTGCCCTGGCCTGCCTTTACCTCGAAGCTCTTGGAGATGAAGAGTAATCAGTAATTTGCTACCTCGGTGCATATTCCCTCATCCCTGTTCTCCAGCTCTCGGTCTGAGCCTCCCAACTCACCGACTGCCTTTGCCGCAGTTTGACGTCATGAGGGTGCTGCTTATGAAGGACATCGTCATCTTCACCGTTCCCGCCCAAGAGCCGACTTCACGTTGCACAAAGTTTCTTCCTCAACTCAGCCTTACGGCAAGCCATCATCTTTCCGTCTCACTGACCACCCTCCCTTAGCAAAGCCCTTACGGAAAGTACACCACCACCACTGCGAGGACGATGATTCAGCTTAAAAAAAGGTGCACGTCTCATAACGGGCAGATTGTTCGCCTCCCCGGCCGCTCGCCCATCGACATTCGTCAGTGAGAGCTCATACCAACTGACCCGACGGATGCGAGGTGTCATCATCCTCCTTTCTTTTCCAGCAGTCTTTTTGGC